CAGCACTTGAACGGGTATTTGGATTAGTGCGTGTGCGCAGTGTTATTATGCCAACTGTATGGAATGGTGTCCCGAGCGAGGTCGTTCGAACTCGAAGGTTTGAAAGTTTGGAGGTTGAAGTTTGAAAGTTTCAAACTTTGAAGGTTTGAAGGTTCGAAAAGTGCTGGAGTTCGAAAGTTTGTGCAGCTTGGTGTGCACAAGCTAGCCGGCGTCAAACTTCGAACTTTCAAACTCGAAACTTTCAAACTTTCAATCTCTCTAACTTTCGAACTTTCGAGCTCGATTGGCTGCTTCAAACTCGAACTTCAAACTTTCGCCGCGGTCGAGTTCGATCGGCCTTCGAACTTTGAGAGTTCGAGAGTTTGAAAGTTTGCAAATTCGAAGGTTCGACGGTTTCAAAATTTGAAACTCAGGAAGTTCGAATTTTCGAAGGTTTGAAAGTTCGACAGTTCGAAAGTTTCAAAGGTCGAAAGTTCGGAGTTTGAAAGGTTGGCTTCAGATTCGCTCTGCGGCTTAGGCTGAGGTGACGAGTTTGAGAGCTCGAAGGTTTCAGACTTCGAAAGGTTTCAATTTCGAAGGTTTGAAAATTTCAGAGATCGAAAGTTTGAAAGGAATGAAACTTCGAGAGTTTGAGAGTTCGAATGTTTGAAAGGTTGCAAAGTTTGAAGGTTTGAATCACGTCGAGCTTGAAAGTTCGAAAGTCCGCCGAGTTGCGAGCTCGAAAGTTTGAGAGTTTGAAAGTTCGAAAGTTTGAGTTAGAAAAGTTTGAAAGTTCGAAAGGCCTAGCATGTGGTGGCAAATGACACAAGCGGCATGGCACTAGCTTATGCTCGTGCCCAACCGCGGAGACTACCGTGCAGTTGTTGTTGTTGTTGTTGTTGTTGTTGTTGTTGTTGTTTAAGTTGAGAACGTAATGTAGTTGAAGCTAAATTCGTAGTTATCGTTGTCGTCGTTGTTGTTGTTCTTCTTCTTCTTCTTGTGGTTGTGGTTGTGGTTGTGGTTGTGGTTGTGGTTGTGGTTGTGGTTGTGTTGGTGTTGTTTCTGCGTGGTGGTGGTGTTCGTGTTCTTGTTGGTGGGGTTGATGTTGCTGCTGCTGTTGTGGCAATTGCTGTTGAAGTAGTAGTAGTAGTAGTAGCAGTAGTAGTAGTAGTAGTAGTAGTAGTACTAGTAGTAGTAGCAGTAGTAGTAGTAGGAGGAGTAGGAGGAGTAGGAGTAGGAGTAGTAGTAACAGTAGTAGTAGTGTAGTAGTTGATGCTGTTGCGGGTTGTGGTTGTAGTTGTCGTTGTATGGTAGTTGTAGATGCCCGGGTTTGTCAATACGCTTGTCTTTCTATCATTATGACTGTTATTATTGCTGTTAGGTTTTTTTATATATGGTTATAAATTCTCGTTGCATTTTTTGTTGTTCTTGTTTGGTTATTCCGGTGTTACTGTTACTGGTATTCTTGTTGTTCCTACTGTCTTGTATTTATCTTTCTTCTGTATCATTCTTATTCTCATCATGTTTCTGAATTCTTCTTTTTGTTATTACAATTTTTCCTGTGGTGTAGTGTCATGATTGCTGAAATTCCTATTATTGCTGTAATTCCTATTATTGCTACAGCCGTTATTGTTATCTCTATTCTTTCATTATCATATGGTTTTTGAATGTTAGTGGTATTCTTATTATTTTTGGAACTGTTGTTGTTCTTTTTGCTATGACTACTATTGTTATTATGCTTAGTCAGATTGCTGTTCCTTGCTATTGTTGCTGTTTTTCATTCTCACTATCATTATCAATATTATTGATGCTATTGTTAATTTTGCGGTTATTTTATTATCGTCACATGGGAAGGATCTGGAACCCTTCACCAAGGCTTTCGCCTTTTGGGCTGTCGGATAAGACGTGTCAGCGTGTATGCTAGCGCTAGTATCCATGTGTGAAACATCGAAGGTGTTTCGCTAGAAAACGTCGAAGGAGTTTTCCTCTGAAGCTAAACAGAACGAAGCCAGTCTGTTTGCTAGAGTGTCTGCACATGGCCGGTGGGACGTGAGCTATTCCGTGGCCATTGTGCTGAAAGGCCCCCTGCTACTGGGGGGCAAATATCGAGTGCCCACCCAACCCACCCTGGAGATTAGCTAGCCGAAGGCTAGAGTTCTTCTCCGGGCTAACGCGGGACTTCGCCACAACGCTAAAAAGAGAGAAGTTCGTGTTGTCCGTGCTACTGTGTGAAGCCGATTAGCTAAAGCTCGGCTTGCTACGTACTCCCCGGAGGTGTTGAGGGAGGTGGCGGGAGGATACGCTAGCTAGTGTACAGTTGTTTTCCTTAGCTTTACCCCCTAATTAATACGTCTGGCTTTCGCTTTCAGAAGACGTTTCATTTATGGTTATTTCTATTTGGCACTTTGAACCCCCTAAAGCGTTTTCGTGTGGCTTTCTCCTTTATGTGTGATGGAAAGGACGTTTTTATTCAATTCTTCGCGGCATAAGAGCCGGGAGTTTGCAGTCTAAAACAGCGGGGGTTTGGGGGGCACAGCCCCCCCCCCCCATTTGCAAACTTTTCCAAAATACGCTTTTGTTTTTTTTCGCTTTGCGTTTGGAACCCAGGTTCAAACCCATGTATAATCCTTAAGCCCCCACCTCAAGCCCCCTCAAAGCCCCCCCGATTTGCAAATTCGCAAAACTTTCCAAATTAAGCTTTGATTTTTTCTTCGCTATACAAATGTATGTCAACATATGTATTTTGTAGTTGTACTTCTAAGGCTTGTACTTGTTGCTGTTGGTAATACTGTTGCTACTGCCGTTGCTCACGATATGGTCAGTGTTGTTGTTGCTGCTGTGATGCCGTTTGTTGATATAATGATTGTATCTTGGTCTTACGTTTATGATTTTTATTTGTAGTAGTGTGATTCGCATGACGTGGATTTGGGTTGAGGGTGTAGGGGTTCTCGGCTCCTTCCTTTTTATCTTCCTTCCTTTCTTTCTCCTTCCTTCCTTCCTTCCTTCCGTCCCTTATTCCTTTCTTCCTTGGCAGTCCTTCCTTTCTTCCGGGGTTCTCCATTCATTCCGTTTCATCTTCCTTCCGTCCTTCCTTTCTTGCTTCCTTTTCTTCTCCTTCCTTCCTTCCCTGCTTCCGCTCTTCCTTCCTTCCTTCCTTCCTTTCTCCTGGCATTCCTTCCTTCCTTCCGGGCTCCGTTCGTTTCTTCTCATCTTTCTTCCTTCCTTTCTTGCTTCTTTTTTTTCTCCTTCCTTCCTTCCTTCCTTCCTTCCCTCCTTTCTTCTTTCCTTCCCTTCTTTCTTCCGGCATTCCTTCCTTCCTTCCTTCATGGCCTTTGGAGGGACCCCCCAGCAAAAGAACAAAAAAAAACCGTTCTGCTTATTCAAAACTATAGCGTGCTTGCATCCTTCTGCTCCGACTGCCCTTACGGATCGTAATGCTTTGCGGCATCATCAGCTCCCCCGAGGTTTAAGAATTAGGGTTCAGGGGTGTTGTGGTTTAGGGTTTATCATTGATGCAGTTGAAGGTATATTCCCTTCAGGGCCTCTGGCTTTCGAGGACGTGGCAACTCCCTCGTGGGTAACGCGGAGGTCTGAATCAGTCTGTCTATCTATCTGTCTGTCTGCGCATCTGGCTCTCCTTCTATCTGTCTATCGATCTATCTACCTGTCCATTCGCGCGTCTGTTTGTCTATGAGTCTACCTCTCTAGATATCTTTCTGTCTAAGTATTCATCTATCCTTCTGTGTAGCTACGTGTCTATCTATCCATCTATCTGTCTAATCCTTCTGTGTAGCTACCTATCTTTCGATCCATCTATCTGTCTATGTATCTGTCTTTCCAGCACTGTTTTTTGTCTATGTAAATCGAACATGGTAGCAAACTCAAAACTTTCAATGCGTTCAGTCTTCAAACTCGTCCAATTTACAAGCCTTCAAACTCCCAAACTCTCATACTTTGAACATCTCAAGCATTCGAACCCCGCGTCTCTCAGACTTTCAAACTTTCGAAGCTTGAAAATTTCAACCCTTCAACCCCCAAAGCTTGAAACTTTCGAATCTTCAAAGTACGAAGCTTTCAATCTTTCAAACTTTCAAACTTCCTGGGTTTCAAACTTTCAAACTCCAAGCTCTCAAACTTTCGAACTCGAGCCTGAGGGCTGCTATGTGAACCCCTACGCGTCTCCAGCGTTCCTTCGCCTTGCTCCTTCGCGCAATGCGCGTTGCCGCGGCTGCAAACTTCCAAGCTGAATTGCTCTTCAAACTTTCAAACTCCAAACTCGCGCCCACTTTCAAACTCGAAACTCTCAAATATTCAAACTTCAAACTTTTCATTGTCCAAACTTTTCAATCTTTCAAGCTCTCGAATCTAGTCCAGCATGAAATAGGTTCAAACTCTCAAAAATTCGAGTTCGAAAAACCCCACTCGTGACACCTATCTATACTGTATGCGTCGAGAGACTCGGCCGGCTGCTCGTGCAAACGCTCGGCATGCACGGCCTAGCCGCCTAGCCTAGCCGAGTCAAGACAAACTCTGACTCTGACGTGTGTAATGCGGGCCCTGCAAGCCCTGAATCTGAGGCCCTATTTGTTTTGGTGCATGAACTCGGTGCGGGGCCCGGCCCGGCCCGGCCCGGCCCAGCGTAGGGTCCCCTTCCCCGTGCACCGCTGCTGCAGGCCATGACCGCCGCCGACGTTTCTTTAAATCTAGCACCGAGCTGAGTTCGAACTCGCCACAAGGGACCTACTTTAGGCAAGTCTTCTCTGTGCTCAGAAAGACCCGGTCTGTGTCTCCAGCTGCCCCGGCGTCCCAAGCGTCAGGCTCTCAGACAGGCGCCGTACGGCTCGGAGCGGAGCAGAGCCGCAAGCTGAGGCGTTGGGCGGGAGCCTTTATGCCCCCGTGCCCGAATGCAAGCGGCGGCCTAGGAAAAAGCTGCCTGCCGCTCCTTTCTCGCTCTCTCTTTTCTCTCCCTTCCTTCTCCGAGGTTGGTCAGTGCATCGCAACAGATCAACTCCTACAAGACCATGATCGTCATGAATCGCTACTGCTTTCCGGACAGGGCAGAAGAGGGCTAGGCATGGGATGGGGGCCCAATGTCGGGGAGTTCGCTTCGCCAGAGGACAGCTCTGGGCTGCTGAAGAGCGCTGCCAACTCTCTCGAGTCAGGCCCGAGAGCTTCCCACACTTTCATGGCTCCTGTGGGGGTCCAAGGGTCCCAGCTGTCCCAGCTGTCCCAGCCCAGCTTGTCAGGCTTGCTGAGCCAGCGCACGGAGCGACTTCTGGAGCAGCTCTCGCAGGGAGCCCTGCAGAGAGCCCTCCCAAACCCAAGCGGCGAAGCAGCGCAGTAAGGCCGCGGGCGGGAATCTTCCGCTCAGGTCGGTGCCGGCAGCCTGGCCGGTGCTGCTCATCGCCTTCTTCCTGGCAGTCCTTTTGGGGTGAGCCGAGAGCCACGAGCTGCTTGCGTCACCGCTCTGCAAGTGGTGCCGGCGAGGTACATGTACCTGGTGGCGCTGCGGCACTGCACGGTGCTGCTGATCTGGCGCGGAGCTTAGAGCCACCATGCGGCCCTGCGGCCATGCCATGCGGTTTGCAACTCACGAGGCTTGTGATGGCGCTTTCGGTTGCCGGCTCTGCCCTCCTCGGCTGCTACCTCTGGGCTTGGGGCCCTGTCGTCAGAGCAGCCTGTAGCCTATAGTGAGCCTAGTGCTCTAGTGCACGGTGCAGTGCCAGAGGCCAACGCGGGCACTCTCTCGAGGCCCTGTTCCTTGTGTTTTTCTTGTTCTACTTGGGGAGAGAGGGAGAGAGGGGGGCTGTGGCCTCACATGAGTGACTTGCAACCTTCTGGTCGGAGTCGCAGCCCAACATCAGCTTGTGGATAGGGTGGGGGTCGGGTGCGGCTATGCAAGCAGATGTCGGTTTCGAAAAGCGGAGAGCTGCAGCAACTCACGAGAAGTCAAAAGTCGATAAGCCTTTTTTGCTTGCATGTTTCTGCGCTAGTAGTGTTCTTTATTCTTTACACGGGTCGGCGCGGTTTGGAATCTCTTGCATTTGCTTGACTTTTCGGGTGCTGTTGCTTTCGAACATGTTGGCATTTGTTGGGGCCCGCGACCGTAATGTTTGCTCATCCATTCACGTGCAATGTCCAGGCACCTGCCCAGCGGTGTGGCCCCTCCTGAAGGCTTGCATGGTGCTTCCGCCTTTCCTGTCGCACGGCTTTTGCCCTGAAGGATACGGTGACAACGAAGAATTAGTCACAAAGGCCACACGGGGTCGGCATTCTTGCTCTTTCGTGGAGCTTTGCTGTGCTCCAGGTCATGGCAGCGCTATGCTGGATTCTTTGTTGCATCTGTTGTTGTGTCGCCTGCTGTTTCCGTCAAAGCATCGAGGCCACTTCCTGCGCTCACAGGACAACGTATGCCATTAGACGGTTCACTGTACCTTTCGCAGGCCGCAGTGGATTGCATCGAGGAAGCTTGCGAAGCTATCCAGGAAATGTGGGGCCCTCAGATGTGCTACCACCGCTATGACAGACGTAAATGTAAACGCGTCAGAAGTTCAAGTCGTGAGGTCTTCGTTGCTCCTGGCGCCCATCCTGAAGGAACGCCGCTTTTCTCTCCAGCAGCAACGAAGGGATCGAGAGAGAGAGAAGGCTCAAGGCCACGAGTGGTTCGAGGAGCCGCCCCCCGCGACCCCACGTCAAAGCCCGGAGCGACCCCACCGTCGGTGGGAACTTAGGACTGGCTGCAGGCCGCGCTGAATCCCTCGTTTCTGCCCGTTTTTGCTGCCATTCGACCTGACCGGCACGTACAGTGCACTTTGCATCTTCACCATTGCCGTTTTGTTGCCGGGGAACTAGTCTTAGTTGAGTGCGGACCAGTTCGGGACTGGCGCGGAGGCGTGAGGGACATTGGGAACAACTCTGGGACGGGCATCGGCGGCCTACGCGCGGGCACCCTCTGCTGCACGCCCCGCAACATCCGCTGAGCCGGGTGAAGGCCACTTGTTTAAAGATCGTGACTTGAGCAACGACACCGAGAAGGAAATCCTTGCCTACACCATGGCCGGACAGATGGGGACGACACCTTCTGGTCCGCTCCCACAGAGCATGATGTGCGACGGAGTCGCCGGTGGCCTCCCCCGCTGCCGCTTCGGACCTGGGACCTCTTCCGAGGGGAACTCCAGATTGCAGTGGGACAGCTGCCGTGAACAAAGAGTTTGACAACATGGAGGCCCGCGTTGCCAAACTCGAGCGAGGTGGCACCGGGGCTGAGCCGGAACGGGCACCAGCTCTAATCAGAGGAGGCTGGCACCCAAACACAGAGACCGTCAAAGTCATTGAGCAGGCAAACAAGTTCGTTTCAGAATTGAGGCTGAGCCAGGACATGCGGGACACCTTCGGATTCGTGCCAGGACTCAGGCGCGGGTGCGCACTTGCACCGCTCAGGCGCAAAGATGGTGAATCCGAGGCTGACCAGAGGCAGAGGGCACAACACTGCATCAAGCATGTGCGCAACACCAACGTGACAGTGGACACCATGACAACGGCAACGGAGAACCCAGCAAGCTGTTTCTCAACATCTCGCAGCCGCCACAGCCACGGGCACCCAAGGATGGATCGATCTGAACACCATCGCGGTCAACTTGCACCACAGCATCGAGACGATCCGCTCGGCTTGGCAACCCCTAAAGGCAGTGCTTCGCTGATTTCAATATGAAGGGCACCTGCCCCACCAGGACTTGCTTTGCTGGGCACTTGGAATGTTGCGGGGATGACCCCGCCTGAGGCGATAGACTTCCTTGCAGCTTTTCGAGGCCACCCACTGCTACGCCAGGTTGACATACTCATGCTCCAGGAAATAATCGTGGACGCCGGCATGAAATTCGACGAAGGCGAAGGCGTGCGAAGGCTAGATACTCATCAGCGGAAAAAGGAAGACGACTGGCGGCGAGGAACAGCTGTTGCATTCAGAGATAGTTTTCTACATAGCAATGCTACAGTGCACCCTCGTGCAGTTACAGTTGTTCTTTCACGCAAAAGTCGTCTGCGTATTAACTTTCACGACCTCCAGGTTTATCCTTGAGTCGAAAAAAAAGAAAAATAAGTGTGAAACGAATGGTTTCTTCCTTTTAGAATAAAGTTTGGATAGCCTTGCACTCGGACCACGAACCCGTCCTGGCGGAGTTGGTCCCCTACAAGAAGACCACAAAAAGGGTTGGTGACCCTGCAATCTTCGAGGAGGCTGCCGTGATTACATTGACGTCGTCAACCACCAAGGCGACCCACACCACCAACTTTCGGCAGCTGCTCTGGCAATGACCAAACCAGGACGGGACATGGACAAATTCGTGGAGACCAAGGAGTTGCGGGACCTGCGTCGTCGGGCACAACACGCACCGCCCGGACAAGATCGCAGAAACGCTTGGAAACGAGTTCAAGCGCTCGTGTGACACGAGGAAGCAGCTGAGCGTGACTGGCGTGCGTGCCGTGCGCACCACCAGTTGGGCTGTGCGGGAACACTATCTCCTGGTAATAACACCAATTGGCGAGACCTTTTGGAGCGGCAGTTCGAAGGCATTTTCCACCAAGCGTCCGAGATACAGGTGCACACCGCTCTCTTGCAAGTGCAGAGCAGGCTCACCAAAGCGCCATTGGGCAGATGGCCGTGAAGAAAGGCGGCAGGACTCGATGGAATCATCCACGAGGCGATCTACGTCCTTACGCAGGAGCCCCTACGACACAGGATAGTCTACATCCTCAACGACGCTTTCTACAGGGGAACCCTCCCAGAGTTAAGGAGTCACGGTACTCATTCATTCCAAAGACGAGTGCACCCTCCTGCTGGGCGGACACTCGTTCACGATCTCCAGCACCGTCTTGATTTGGACAGCCCAACTTGTCCTCAGGCCCACCCAACACTTGTTGGCACCCGCCTGCTGTCGGTTGCGATGGTGCTCCAGACAAAGACAGTCCGTCGAGATGCTCTTGGCCATCCGAAAGATCATGAGAAGGGCGAGAGATGATTGGGGCGGTCCTTGCTTCCTTATCAAGGTAGACGTCGCCAAGGCTTTTGACACCACCTCGCAGGCGAGCATGAGTTGCCTGGTGGAGGACCGCATCGGAGGACAAGGGGACCCGCGGGAAGCAAGAGTCTGGGCAACATTCAGATCGACAACGCTGGCATCATCATTGCGCAAAGCAGCCGTGTTCGACAGGGAGGACCAGACAGCCCAGTTGCTTTATGGTCCGAACCCCAAACGTTGCCTCCCCCTCCAGACCACGCGGCAGCTTTCATGGACGACGTCTACGTGCCCGCTCCATGTCCAGCACCTCATTGACAGATTGGAGGTGAACCTGGCCCGTCACCGGCTCAACAACCACAAAAAGACGTGCTTTTTTTTCAACGCATTGCTGGGCGCCACTCGCTCATAGTCCTGGGGTCGCCGGTCGCATTCATTGGAGGACCCGCTTTGATCAATGCGGAAATGAGCACCAGGGCAAGAAGAGCCTTCCACGCCAACAAAAATATGTTCCTGGCCAAGACGAGCATCCACTTCAAGGCACACAATGTGGTGCTGGCCAAGACGGACATCCATACGCGCCTCAAGGCACAATGCGGTGGTGTCACCCACGTGGCCAGTCAATGACGCCATTTTGAGGACAGCGAATGGCGTACAGTTGCACCGCGCCCGGGACATGCTCAAGATTGCGAGGACACCCGGAGAAACATGGGTGGATTGGAACACACGTTCCCTCCGCCAGGCTCGCATTGCCCCAATGAGACACAGAGCGACACGTCAGCTTGGTGGCACATTCTCTTCGTGGATTCCGTGGACCAGTGGCAAGCAGCGCGCACTCCCAGACGTCCCCAACCTTGCACCCAACAAGAACAGGTCGTGGCGTCGCCAATTACCGCTAGTATCGATACTGGCGAGAACAGACAGCACCCTCAATCCTTTCCTTGTGTTTATTTGTAAGGGCAGACACAAGCCGCGCCAGCACCCTTTATTTTTTTCTCTCCCTTCCGTCATGACAGTCGAGCGTGCTTCTGCAAGTTCTGAAACGTGAGGCGCAGCACTTCCGTCTAAGGCCACGCACCTTGTGGTCTGCCGGTTTGCTTGAAACTGGCACGCAAGGGTCACAGCACCACGAACAGCTCGCCACGCCGGACGCAGAGAGGGGCCTGCGCTACAAGAAGAGCAGCAGACGCGCTCAAGCAGAACTTCCGCGCTGCTCAAGGAAAGGAACCACATCTTCCACACAATGCCATGGGCGAGAGCGTGGGCACAAGTCCACAGAGGAAAGGACCTGGCGATCCGTGCAGATGAACTTTGTGAAGAAGTGGTAAGAGCCGTCCGCGACGGCGCCAACAACGAGGAGGACACCGTCGACTTTGTGTACCAGCAACTGAACGAGATAGCGCAAGTGACAGAGGACGCTATACAAGCACATAGCCGAGCTTGGGGAAGCACCGGAGAGAGCCAAAGCTTGCATTAAGCTCAGTCGGCAACACAAAGACTTAAAGCAGTCCCTTGCATTGCACTCTGTGCATGCAGATCACTCGCAGTCACTCGGCGAAGCAGTCAGCCTATTTTCGCGGAAAACTGTTTCAGTCGGGCGATATCGGCCAAAAAAAATCGCCAAACAATCGGCGAAATTCCATTCGGAATTCGGCGGAATCGGGAAAGCTTTCAGCACAGTCCCTTCGGGACCGAGTCGGCAGTCTGCGCGAGACTAGACCGGAGAAACCATTTCGGCAATCGGAGAAGTTTCAACTCTCATTCTCTCAACTCTCGTTTTCTTTGGCTTTGGGGTTTTCGGGCAACGCTGAAACATTGGGTCATGAAAAGACAGCTGCGTTCATGTTACAGTAGACTCGAAGACAGCAGTGTGACATGTGATGCAAACGCTCAAGAACATGCATTGCAGTCGCTGCGGCTCACCTAGCTACACAGTCCCTCGGCGTGGACTTCGGTCCAACGGCATCCGGAGAAGCAGTGTGCGCCTTGGGTTCAATCGGGACGCGCGAGAGGGCGGGTGCGGGAGTGGTGCGCGGGCCAGTCCCAGTAGGGTGGTGGTCGGCGAGGAGAAGGCCGTTGAGCATTTACCGCAGGAGCAACATGATCATCAGTATCGTGAGCATCAGTGGCGAGATCCTCGAACCAATTCGACACAACACCAGATGCGTCCGCAGTCGCTGTAGCGCATCAGTGACATCAGTTGCGACGCACTTGGTCATTAGATTCAGCATGCCTTCAATCTTAGCCATCCTCAGTAGGCCCTTTGGCACCAGATTCTGTACACGGAGGAACCGCAGATCCACGTGCCTCGTCTTCTTGGCAGTGCCAAATCTGGTCGCCGTTGATTTGCCGGCCGTGCTGTCAGCGTGGGCGATCACACTCAACTTTGATTCCAACAGCATGGACCGAACAAACAGTGCCTCCAACACTCCTTGACCAATCGCACACAGTTCCGCTTCACTGGAAGACAGCACCACTGTCCCTTGTGTCCGGGCAGTGCGAACCACAGTGGATCTGCTGGTATTGTTGAGGGTACGCGCACATCCAGCCCGGTCTGAATCCGCATAGACATTGACGTCTACGGTGCAGTTGCCATTCGCAAGCTCATGCGTCGGTGGCAGTCTCAGCATACACATATTCGTGCCAATCAAAGAGGGCAGTAGGTGTTTGCACTTTGCGACACTCTGCATTGTCGGGAAAAAGTCACATCCCGATTCAGCTCCCTCGTCGCATATGCAA